CAATGAACAGGGAAACCAGAGACGAAGAACACGTGGATTGACCGCGAAGAGATGCAGCGATTGGATCTTGATCTGTTGTAGTGGTATGAGAGTTCTAGAGATGTTGACTCGACGGGGTTGAGTTTTCTCCCACATGGGGAGAATGATGAGGACATCGTTCAGAGATTCAGACATGTGTACCGGCGACGGAATCGTAGATCGACGGCTACAATTCAGCGTATCTACTTTTGATGCATTTCTTTATATTTTATTTAGTTTTGTTGTTTTCCAAATGTACCCCTTAGGGAAGTACTTTATTTTTGTAGCACGGAGGGCAATTATGTACTTTTCTTTTGTCATGTTTGGAGACCTATAAATAGTAGTCTCATGTGTTGTAAAAGGATGATGAATCAACAACAACAACAACAACATCAAGCCTTTATCCCACTATGTGGGGTCGGCTACATGAATTCTTTTTCTCCATTGTGTCCTATTAAAAGTCAAATTCTCGTACAAATCTAATAAAGAAAGTTCATTCCTAAAAGGATGATGAATGGTTAAATGAATTTTTATTTTGTCTTCCTCTTTCTGTGAGTGCATTAGAGAGAAGGAAGAGCCCAACATGTGAGCAAGCGCAATACACACCAGTCACCGGAAGAGTTCGTGGCTTGTGGTTTTCTTTTACGTTCTCTATTCTATTTCCGACATCACCCACCAGCTTCTCTTCATCCTTCCACCTTCATCCCGTAACCAAAATACCTCCCCTTGATCCCACCAAATTCCCCGTCCAAACTCCCACCCGCCGGCCTAGCTCTTGGCCACCTAAACCCGATGCCAAGCCTCCTTCTCCCTCTTTGACCGCCAGCCCCATCCATATCCCACATCATTATGATGATTTCACTCATCATAATGACCCCCTAATTTGACTCTTGTAATAAAGGGAGGAGTTAGAAAATTTTGAAATTCAAATTTGAAATTAAAAATCTTTCCACATTTACAAAATTCTAAATAAGAAAAGTTTTCAAATTTGAATCCAATCTAAATTTAATTTAGAGCGGAATTATTATTTTCCCTCCTAATTGGCCTCACTTATTTGGAAAGTGCTTAATTCCTCCATAATCCCCTCCCCTCTCCCATCTTAATGCCGCCGGCCACATGTAGGGGGAATTTCCTCTTTGCTTCCTAATGATTCAATTTGAGTTTGGTAGACAAGTGAGATTACATAATTCCGTGGGAAGTCCTCTCTTTTTACTCTCTTAAGATCTAAATTTTATATTTTGGTGAACTGTTTCCTTGGTATGATTTCTTTTACATAGTTTGTTGCTGTCATGCTAGTAAAAAACTTGCTAGTGCTCTTGATTTTATTCAAATTTGACACAACTAAGAATCTATGTGGTAATTAAATCATAATTTTTCATTGAATTAAACTATATCTATTAACCTAGGGATGGTGTCTATAAATTGATGTCCAAAGGCATGACAATTATGAACTTTGATTTAATAAAATTCCTTTTCCAGTTTTCAATCTTGTTTCCACAAGTTGAATGTATGATTCCATTTGAGTTTGGTAGACAAGTGAGATTACATAATTCCATGGGAAGTTGTCTCTTTTTACTCTCTTAAGATCTAGATTTCTTATTTTTGGTGATTTCTTTCCTTGGTATGATTTCTGTGACATATTTTGTTGTTGTATTGCCAATGCTCTTGATTTATTCAAATTTGACACAATTGAGAATCTATTTGTGGTAATTAAATCATAATTGCTCATTGATTTTAGGTGGATTCAATTTATTTCTTATTTATTTGACTTTATTTGATCATGACATCATCATTTCTAGTTCTTGTATTTATTGTTTGCCTTTAAATAAAATAAGTTATTTTATTTAGTGGTTTATGATCTATGATCCTTAAGTCTCTTCGTGAGGTTAAACAAGCTATTCTATTGTTGATCTGGAAAAATGTTTTATGGAAGCAACAAATTTCTGCAGGTTGTCAGCGATTCAGTTATTATCCATGATTCTTCCAATGGTAGAGAAATTGAATGTCAACTTCTTCCTATTTCTGATGCTATTATGAGATTAAGAAGTCGCTATGTCAAAGCATATCTAGGCACTTCTCCCAGCGCCCGTCCTAAATTTTGGCTTGTATTCCCTGTTTCTGTTCCACCTCTCGGTTTCAGCACATATGTTATATCTAGTGCTACAAAGAGAGGTTTCAGTTTTATCCCTTCTTTATGAATTATTATATTCAATTTATGAGCTTATTTCTCTCCACTTAAAGTGCACTGCATCATATTGAGGGCCACACCATTAATTGCTTAGTGCTATTTCAGGCTCTATCACTTCATTGTCAACTTCGTACTTATCAAAGGGAACTAGCAAAGACAACATGGAGATTGGTCCAGGAGACTTGAAGCTCCTTTACAATGTGGATAAACTGGAGCTCTCTTATTATTCCAACAAAAGAAGTTCTGTACGTTTCCGTTGCTCAGTCATAATTGGCTATATCTTTTTGTGATTTTTTTTCCTGTAATTATTATTATGTCCGTCTTGAAATGGTAATTTCTTTGGGTGTAAAATTAACTCAGATTCCAGAGTCCGTTCAGTCATTGCCTTTGTTTGTTGGTGGTTTACATGGGAGGGCACTAAATACGGAGTCGTGCCTACTTGCCTATGGTCGCTTTTGAACTCGCACACACTCAAATCGTAGTTGTCCGCTCGATGGTCGTTCAATCAGTTTCGCTCTCGCTCGTTCGTGCTCTCTGTATTTTAGTTAGGCGTCTGGTTTGATTGAACCGGACCAGCCGGTTCATACACATTGCATTCAAATTCAGAAGGCTTCCATTAGGGACATTTAAGAAATTAAATGCCAGAGAGTGAGCCAATTACAACATTGCAACATATTGGAATCAACACGTACATATTGAAAATTTCAATAAATTCTATGATTGATCTTATTTTCTCTGTTTGATTTCAATTTAATTCATGATTTATTGTCAATCTCATTATTTCTTCTTTTTCTGTCTTCTCTTTGCATCCAACGCTGCTAGAAAATGTTATACAGCTTGATTTTGAAGCTATTTTTGAAGATGGGCTTGTTACCACCATTGATGTTGGATTACACTGATATTTAGTGCACTAGCATGAAGAATCTATTTGTGTTGACTCGTGGATTACTTTTAAGAGGAGCCTAATCTTCATCCTAATATTCTTTTTGAGTATGAAATGATAAATTTATATTCAATTTGTCCAAGTTGTGCATATTTTCTTTGCAAGTTATTCTCGTTGGAAACATTGTGTCAAACTGTAATTTGAGCATGGTTTATTTGTTTTTATTATTTGATTTATTTTATTTTACAATTTCAGTAGTTTGGGATATGCTTGTGATGATGGCTTTGAGAATGGGTATCTTTGCTATTTTCTAATATCAGGTTGGCTTATATAATTTTGTTTTTAGATTACCTCAAGTTTAATTAAGTGGCACATAATGTTTTATTGGATTGTTGAATTTGTGCTATCAAAGGCTCAAGCTGTAGGATTAAAAAAATTTCAAGTTGGGCAGATTGATCTAGAACTATAGTGACCCCATTGGGAGTTTAGGTCCTCCAGGAACTGTAGCACCCCTTTGCTTATGGGTTTTCTATTTTATTAGATTATGAATGAAGAGGTCCCACTTGCGCTTCTATTAAAATTGTGGTTTTTTATGATTTCAGATTTGAGTTTTGTAGAAAATGAAGTTTGGATTTGATGGTTATTTGGAATTCAGATTGAGCTGATATTATGACAACTATATCTATTAACTTAGGGATGGTGTCTAAAAATGGATGTCCAAATGCATGAAAATTATGAACTTTGATTTAAAAATATTTCTTTTTCAACTTTCAATCTTGTTTGCACAAGTTGAATGCATGATTCCATTTGAGTTTGGTAGACAAGTGAGATTACATAATTCCATGGGAAGTCCTCTCTTTTTACTCTCTTAAGATCTACATTTTATATTTTGGTGAACTGTTTCCTTGGTATGATTTCTTTTACATAGTTTGTTGTTGTCTTGCTTCTGCTCTTGATTTTATTCAAATTTGACACAACTAAGAATCTATTTGTGGTAATTAAGTCATAATTGCTCATTGAATGAAACTATATATATTAACTTGGGATGGTGTCTATAAATAGATGTCCAAAGGCATGAAAATTATGAACTTTGATTTAATAAAATTCCTTTTGCAGTTTTCAATCTTGTTTGCACAAGTTGAATGTATGATTCCATTTGAGTTTGGTAGACAAGTGAGATTACATAATTCCATGGGAAGTCGTCTCTTTTTACTCTATTAAGACCTAAATTTCTTATTTTGGTGAACTGTTTCCTTGGTATGATTTATTTTACATAGTTTGTTGTTGTCTTGCTAGTGCTCTTGATTTTATTCAAATTTGACACAACTAAGAATCTATTTGTGGTAATTAAATCATAATTTTTCATTGAATTAAACTATATCTATTAACCTAGGTATGGTGTCTATAAATAGATGTCCAAAGATATGACAAATATGAACTTTGATTTAATAAAATTCCTTTTCCAGTTTTCAATCTTGTTTGCATAAGTTGAATGTTCGATTCCATTTGAGTTTGGTAGACAAGTGAGATTACATAATTCCATGGGAAGTTGTCTCTTTTTACTCTCTTAAGATCTAGATTTCTTATTTTTGGTAATTTCTTTCCTTGGTATGATTTCTGTGACATATTTTGTTGTTGTCTTGCCAATGCTCTTGATTTATTCAAATTTGACACAGTCGAGAATCTATTTGTGGTAATTAAATCATAATTGCTCATTGATTTTAGGTGGATTCAATTTATTTCTTATTTCTTTGACTTTACTTGATCATGACATCATCATTTCTAGTTCTTGTATTTATTGTTTGCATTTAAATAAAATAAGTTATTTTATTAAGTGGTTTGTGATCTATGATCCTTAAGTCTCTTCATGAGGTTAAAAAGCTATTCTATTGTTGATCTGGAAAAATGTTTTATTGAAGCAACAAATTTCTGCAGGTTGTCAGCGATTCAGTTATTGTCCATGATTCTTCCAATGGTAGAGAAATTGAATGTCAACTTCTTCCTATTTCCGATGCTATTATGAGATTAAGAACTCGCTATGTCAAAGCATATCTAGGCACTTCTCCCAGCGCCCGTCCTAAATTTTGGCTTGTATTCCCTGTTTCTGTTCCTCCTCTCGGTTTCAGCACATATGCTATATCTAGTGCTACAAAGAGAGGTTTCAGTTTTATCCCTTCTTTATGAATTATTGTATTCAATTTATGAGCTTATGTCTCTCCACTTAAAATGCACTACATCATATTGAGGGCCACACCATTAATTGCTTAGTGCTATTTCAGGCTCTATCACTTCATTGTCAACTTCGTACTTATCAAAGGGAACTAGCAAAGACAACATGGAGATTGGTCCAGGAGACTTGAAGCTCCTTTACAATGTGGATAAACTGGAGCTCTCTTATTATTCCAACAAAAGAAGTTCTGTACGTTTCCGTTGCTCAGTCATAATTGGCTATATCTTTTTGTGATTTTTTTTCCTGTAATTATTATTATGTCCGTCTTGAAATGGTAATTTCTTTGGGTGTAAAATTAACTCAGATTCCAGAGTCCGAATCAATATGCCTATTCAATCTCCTTTAATTTGTTTCTAAATTTTGAAGTGTTTCTGTAGCATGGTTTTGTTAATTTATTCTAATCATGTCATGCTGGAAAAAATATGCTCATTTCTACATTTAAAGATATTATGTTTTTAATATTTCTTATATCTTTTTTACTGGGACCTTTTAGGTTAAATCATCCTTAGGGCAGTCATATAAGTACTATATTGGAGCGGTTGGAGATAAAACTGATCCACAGGTATGAATTTGCTAAACCAGCTTCAGCTTGTTTTTGTCAAGTGAAACTTTCTTTTGCGTTTCCTAGTCATTTAATTATTCCCGTGATACTTCTGAAGGCCTCTGGAGCTTATGTTTTTCGTCCAAATGGAACTTCTCTGATCAAATCTAAGCAGGTATACATTGTCCTTTGCTTTGACTGGTTTTTAAGCATGTCATTGCTGATTAAATGGTCATGCTAATATTTGGCCCTTGATGGTTAACCCGCTAAGTGATCGGGGTTAACCCGCTGAGTGATCTTGCAGAAGCAGTGTCAGGGTGCTGAGACCATTTTTACTAAATGAGAATTCCCTGTATTGTGTATTCAATGGCTCTGGGAGGGCATCATTTTCTTTTTGTACTATTGATTCTGCATATCGTTTTCTTTTAGCTTTTGATTTCATCTTATATGCCTTCTTCTATTCATGATTTTTATTGTGGTAAGGTTCCATTGACTATTATGCGAGGACCCCTAGTAGATGAAGTGCATGAACAGGTCAATCCATGGATATATCAGGTTATGTAATTTCTTAACTTTGTTCAGGTTTTACATGCATAGTGAAGTATAAATGGTTACATTTGCTTGATTTATTCATGTGCTGTAATATGGCCAGGAAGTTGAGGCATGAACTGCTTGAAGATAAATATCGAAGTCCTCTATAAACACCTAAATATGACTGCCCTAAGGATATCATTACTGAGCTGCTGAATGACATTTATCCCTCATTGTTGCTATGGCTGGTGATTCACCAGTCAGTTTCTAGTCCCCAAATATAGGCAATCAAATCATTATTTTTATTACTCATTCATTGTTCACAAAGAGCAACTATAAAACATTCCTGACTTTTGCATAACCATTATCAAAATTGTGCATCGCAACTATCGTCATATTTTTGTTTTGCTTATCACGATATGCAGAATCTTTGAATCACAAGATTCTTTCGTAAATTTAGTCTTCTATTTATTTATTTATGTAGTTAGCGTGCCATAGAATTTCTGGACCCTTAATGCTGGACTAAATATGAAATGACTTTAGTTCATTTAGATTTTGCACAACTCTTGATTAGAACAATCACAGAACAACTAAAAGCAGTTTAAAACAACAAATCAAAACAATTGAGGGATCACACCTGCTTAGGCTAAATTATGTAGTAAGAGATTTGAAGCCTTCCAAATAAGAAAGAAAACAACACAATGACAAATAGTAGTTTCGAAGAAATCCCTAGTCTAATAACAAGAATTAGAAAGCATAAAGGTGCACTCAAATCCCTACGTTTACTAAGCTTTAGCATGAGCGGCATGGAGTCGTCCTTCATGACTGTCATCAATTCCAAGAGAAGTTAGTTTTAAGAAAATATAATGAAAAGGTGTAAGAGAAACCTTCGTCAAGGAGTGGTGGAGATCCTCCACTCAATGCCTTCGAAGTGCTCGTCAATGGCTTCCACTAATGTGTCCAGAATACGCTCCAAGTAGTCCTCGACGGTGTGATCAATCCTTGGGTTCACGTCGAAGAAAGTTGAGCGTAGGATATCGATGAAACCATCCTCGTCCCACATTAACCCATATTCAGTTGCTGGATCCACCATTCATTGGGGCTAGGGAATAAATTTCCTTCCACCTTGCTGATGGTCTCGAAAGTCGTCGAAGAGAAAGAAGTTTCTCTTGCACGTGGAGAGAAAACAAGCTCCAAGTCCTTTTCCCAAAAATCCGAAAAAAGTTTCAGATTTTAATCCAAAATTCTGAGAGAAATTTCAGATTTCCTTCTTGAAAGAGTAGAAGTTGAGAGAGAGGGTTTGGGGTTTAGAACTCAATTGAGGAGTTGATGGTGAAGAGAGAATTTGGGGAAAGAAGCAACCTAAGTTGGGGCCTTGAGAGTTTCGGCCAGGAGCAGGTTGGTTCTCCAATTCTTTCCCAAAGGGGAGCAATGTATTGTGGATAGATTTTTCCTGTAAGGGGGCCGGCGGGATGAGGGGGGGGGGGAGAGAGGTGAAATCCTTTGTGGCCGGCGGCTAGGATGAGGTAGCAATCGGTGTTGGTAGAGGAAAGTGGATTTGGTTGGATGGGGTTGGCCATGGAGCTGGGGGGGATGGCCGGGTGAGGTGAATGTGGCTCGGGTGAGAGGAGAAATGACAGTTTGATGGAGGGGGAGGGAAGGGGAAGAAGATAGGGATTAGAACCACGAACCCAACTTATCTAAGTTGGTGGGTATTGTGCAAATCTCCCTCTCCTTGGGATCTCTCTCCATTAGAACTCTCAAGCTCTCTCTCAAACTCAATCAAGAAGAAATATTCATAAGTCATTCATTAATCAAAACATCAGACAAGAGGTTATAAATAACCACGTACAATGGACTCGAAGAAATAAAAGACCAACTTGCTCTTTGGGCTCACACACGACAATTCCCACTAGAGTGGTACAAATGGAAAAACCAAAATGACACTAAGCAAATAGAAAAATACATGAATAATAAAATAACATAAATGACTCAGAAATACAAAGACTCGATCGTGGCCGTAGATCGGCGGCCACGCCTCTGATAAACCTTCCACGATCTAATATCCCCTTCATTCTGTCGGGGTGGGAGAAAACTCGACTCCTTCAAGTTAGTATCTCTGGCGCTCTCGTAGATCTCTAGTGCATTTGGGTCAATCTGCTACAACTCCTCGCGATCTAGCCACATATCCTCTGACTCGGGCTTTCCTTTCCACCTGATCAAATACCTCCTTCGTCCTTCTTCTCTTGTGGATATGATCTCATCACTTAGGACTGCCTCCACCTTCTCTGCCATGGGAAATTTGGGAATATCTGGTAGTGGAGGTAGGTTTGGGATCTCACAAAGTGGGTTCACACAAGGCTATTTTAATAGTGGATTTGGTGGGTTAAAATTAGGACTTTCATATGCCACTAAGTCTTTTATGTTAAAAGAGGGATTTATATTGAACTCTGCAAGAAGATCTACTACATAGGCATTATCGTTATTTTTAAGTATTTTGAAAGGTCCAGCACTCTTTGTATGTAACTTCTTAATTGTTCCTGGTGGGAACTGTTCCGGACGAATCCACACCATTACGGAGTCACCAGCCTCAAAAGTTTTAAAACATCATTTCAAATCTGCATGTAGTTTATATTCATGATTATTCCTTTCAATTTGTTGTGCAATATCCTTATGAAGTTCTTGCAAGTGAGATGCAAATGATGATGCAGACATAGAAATCATATACCTAAAACTCTTGGGTATCAGATCTAACGGCTGTCTAGGTTTGAACCCATATACAATTTTAGAAGGACTTAGACCCGTGGTTCGGTTAATGGAATTATTGTAAGCAAACTCAACAGTAGGTAAAATGGAATCCCAATCTCTAATGTGCTCACCAACCAGGGACCGTAACAAATTACCCAGACTCCTATTATCTACCTCGGTCTGACCATCCATCTGTGGGTGAAAGGCAGTGGAAAATTGAAGTTTGGTGCCCATTTTCATCCACAGGGTTTTCCAAAAATAGCTAGTGAACTTCACATCCCTATCCGAATCAATGGTTTTGGGTAAACCATGTAAACGGACGACCTCATTGAAGTATAACTTCGCAATATGAGAGGTATCGGATGTTTTGGAACATGGAATGAAATATGCCATTTTGAAAAACCAATAAACTATCACATAAATGACATCCTGCCAAGGACAACTGGGACAGGTAGGGGAGTGTAAAAACTAGTGTTCTGCTTACGTTGCTTAGCCAGTTGGCAGGTGTGACACCGACTGACCAGCCGACCAACATCTCTTTTCAGGCTGGCCAAAAGAAGCGATACTCCACGGATTCGATAGTCTTGTCCAGTCCGAAGTGGCCAGCGAGGCCTTCGACGTGGAGTTCCCAGACCAGAAATTCCCTAAGGGAGGTGCACATAATGCAAAGCCTCTGGGCTTTGAAAAGATAACCATCCTTCAATAGGAAATCATCCACAAAGTGCATGCTGCCTGTGGACAAGAGAGTGTAGGTCTCCTTGAAGTCGGGGCATTCCAAATAATCCCTCTTTATTTTGTCAAATCCCATGACTTCTGCTTTCATTTTAGTGGTGGTCAGCATACGACGACTGAGAGCATCGACAGCCTTATTTTCAACTCCCGCCTTCTGCCTAAGGGTGTACGTGTATTCTTGAAGGAACTCAACCCATCGACCATAGCATGCATTCAACTTCTTTTGGGAGTTGATATAACGTAGAGCTTCGTGATTCGAGAAAATGATGAATTCTTGCGGGAGAAAGTAGTGTCGCCAATAACGAAGTGATTGAATCACGGCGTAGAACTCTTTATCATAAGTGGAATAACGCTGCCGGATATCATTAAGTTTCTCACTAAAGTAAGCAACTGGGTGACCTTTCTTGGAGAGGACTCCTCCAATTTCGACCCATGAAGCATCGCAAGTTACTTCAAAGACTTTGGAGAAATCAAGAAGTCGCATCACTGGGGCTTCCACCATCTTTTGTTTGATCTCATCAAAAGCTTGGGTGGCGGCTGGGGTCCAGTGAAAATCATCCTTCTTCAGGAAATCAGTGATAGGAGATACAATAGTGCTGAAGTTCTTCAGGCATTACTAAGCCCAAAAGGTATGACTAACCACTCGTAGAGACCATCCCTTGTCTTAAAGGCAATTTTCCACTCATCTCCAGGTCGGATCTGGATCTGGTGGTACCCACTTTTGAGATCAATTTTGGAGAAATGGGTGGCACCCGTCATCATATCGAGCATATCATCAAGCCTCGGAATAGGGAATCAATATTTGATGATGGTCTTGTTGATAGCACGGCTATCAACACACATTCTCCAAGATCCGTCCTTCTTCGGGGTGAGAAGGGTCGGCACCGTACAGAGGCTCAGACTCTCCTTAATGAAACCTCGCTATAGTAACTAATCAACCTGCTTTTTAAGCTCAGCATGTTCCGTGGGGTTTATGCGATAGTGTGGCAGGTTCGGGAGGGAGGCTCCAGGGACGAAGTCTATGGCATGCTGGATGTTTCTAAGAGGTGGTAACTTATTTGGGAGATCATCAGGGAAGACATCAGCATAATGCTCTAAGATAGGCTACACTTCCTGAGGAATGGGCTCGTCAGATTCGGTGGGAATCTCACGGCCTACTAAGGCGTAAAGAGGGGCGCCTTGAGCAATCTCAGTAGTTAGAACCTTGGAGGTGACAAGGTTCACTCCTTTCTTAGACTTGATTGGGTTGGATTTCGTGTCATCTGCAACCCGAGGCTGCATTGGCAAAAGCTTAATCTTTTTGCCTGCATGTTCAAACATGCTGATGTTTGAACGCCCATAAATGTGGACATCATTATCGTAGATGCAGGGACGACCTAATAAGATTTGTCCAACATTCATCGTCAACACATCGCACCATAAATTCTCCTTATAGGTGGCAAAGGAGATGGGTATGTGGCTTCGTTCTTTCACCTCCAAGGCAGTGGAGTTGACCCATGCTATCTTATACGGGTTGGGGTGAGGAACAGTAGAAAGACCTAATTGGGATACCATGCTGGAGGAAACATCAATTATGCAGCTACCACTA